ATGGTTTACGTCAAGCAAGCCGCCAATGGTATGCTAAGTTAACCTCAGCTTTATTGTCTTTTGGCTACACTCAAGCCTCTTCTGATCACTCTCTGTTTGTTAAGTCTAACGGTACTCAGTTTACTGCGTTGCTTGTTTATGTTGATGACATTGTCCTTGCTGGCAATGATTTTCCTGAAATCCAACTTGTGAAAACTCACTTAGATGATCAGTTCAAAATAAAAGACCTAGGAACTTTACGGTTTTTTCTTGGTTTCAAAATCTGTCGATCTTCCAAAGGGCTTATCATGAATCAGCGCAAGTATGCTGTTGAGATTATTGATGATGCTGGCCTACTTGGTGCTAAGCCTGTCTCCACGCCCATGGATTCTTCTTGCAAACTTCATAAAGAACAAGGCTCTCCTCTCTCTGATCCTTTGAGCTATAGACGATTGGTTGGTCGTCTCCTTTATCTCACTAATACTCGCCCTGATATAGGATATGCAGTTCAGCAATTGAGCCAGTTCCTTTCCAAACCTTTGGATGCTCATATGCAAGCTGCTCTTCGGGTGGTTCGTTACTTGAAGAATTCCCCAGGAACGGGCTTGTTCTTTGCTGCTGATAACGATTTGGTGCCCACTGGCTTCTCTGACGCAGACTGGGCAGCATGTGTTGACACAAGACGTTCAATCACAGGATACTGTGTTTTCTTGGGTTCCTCTCTAGTCTCCTGGAAATCCAAGAAACAAACTACCATCTCTAGGTCCTCTTGTGAAGCGGAGTATCGGGCCTTAGCTGCAGTTACTTGTGAAATGCAGTGGCTTCATTATTTGCTGCGTGATTTATGTTTGTCCCCATCAGTTGCTTCATGTATCTATTGTGATAACCAGTCTGCCATCCACATTGCCCACAATCCCACATTTCATGAACGTACAAAGCATATAGAGATTGATTGTCACTTGTACGCGAAAAGGTTCAAAGTGGTTTGATCCGTTTACTTCCTATTTCTTCTGCTGAACAGCTTGCTGATCCTCTCACCAAACCTTTGAAGCCTGCCATTTTTCGGTCCCTTGTTGGCAAGTTGGGCCTTGTTGACATCCACCTCCCAACTTGAGGGGGGGTGTTACAGTTAATTATTTTAATTTACTTATTTACTCACAATGTAATCTATTAACTGACTCCTATTAGTTACGATTCTGTTTTCAGTTAGTTAGCTTAGAGTTAATTTAGATTCTCTTCTATTAGCGGGGTTGTTAGATAACTTTAGATAGCTTTGCTTACGTCATCTTGTATTCATGCTGATATAAATATCAGCAAGCTTCAGTATCAATACAGTTTTTCAGATTCTATTCACTTTATGGATTCAAGTTGTAATACATGTCGAAGTATAGTTACACATATCTATAATAATTGTACTTTGTGGGAGATTTGGATTCACTTTTTATACAAAACAATTTGGGAAATGTGCTTTATTCCTTTATCACTTTTATTTTTATTTTCTTATTAATAATCCCATGTAGTTGTATTTCATCCGAGTCTACTTTTAACATCGTTATTAATTGAACTAACTTATCTATTTTACTCTTATTTTTTATTTGAAGTTTTGTTTATCAAAAATAAAATCGGTTCCTAAAAAGAAAAATGGTTGCAAAGTCTACTTTATTATGACTAGAAAAAATAATATGTAAAAAATGGAAGAATAATAGTTATTGATAGGGGGCCTAGAAAAATTTCACCGGAGGCAATTTATAGCTAGATGTGATAAAATGAAGGAAATCACATTGGCTACAAAAAAAAAAACATAGTCACAAAGAATTGGCCCCACATAAATATGCAAATTAAGTCCTATTTTATCTTTCTCCTCTTATCAATGCAATTCAATATTAATATTATATGGGAAAATGACTCGCATGTTTGATAAACTCATAGTTTATCATGTTTTAAAGGACTAAATAAATCTTATATCTAGTCAAAAGTATAAAAACTTATAATTATTTGGCTAAAAAGCATGGAGTTTAAATTATTGATTCATGTGAATGATTTTTGGTCGTTTTATAGGACAATTGAGTTGAATTAAAGCATTGGAGCAATGGTTAAACTAGAAAGACTTAAAGCGAAAAATGAGGAGCAACCATATAATGAAAATTTCTTTGAAGCTATCTTCTGGCCAATTTTTTGTATCCGAGATGATGGATTTGGATCTTGTGTTCTGGACAGAAGTTGTAGATGTCTCTTTTATCGTTTCAACGAGACCAAAATCACATCAATTGGATTAGTATAGATCAAATTATGTCCAAAATATGAAACCATAATTTTGTTGTCAAAATAGCATATTTGCTCGTTTTAAAGCCTGGTTACGACCTAATTAAGGCCCATTATGTTTTTCACCTAAAACAAGGATTCCTACATCTATTTAAGTTATTCTTCACGAGGCTTGACAACGACTTGATACTGGAGGCATCGTTTTCATTGCGGACGCACGTTCTTCATACTTTTGAGAGATAAAGACAAGTCAGAGGCAAGATTACGCTAGAAACCTTGAAGATTCACTACGTCATCACACCAATGGAGTTTGAGGAAGATTTATTGTTTTTTTGCTTTCTTTATTCTATTATGTTAGGCTAGTTTTCTTTGTAGTTAGGGTTAGATGGAACCCAATGAATCTTTATGATTCTGAATTAATCTTTAATTCAATTTTTCCTTTTTATATTAAATGAATTTTCATGTTCTTCATGCTTCTACGAGTCAATCTTCTTCTAAACTGATCTAAGATTTATGTAAGACAATAGAGATGTTGGTATATAAATTGTGGTTGGTAAATTCATCATTGATTTCTTTGACTATAGAGATAGTCATATGAATCGTGTAATCCTTATACCATTTTTATGATTCTTGATTTTAATGCTTAAATCCTTTTGAGAAACACCAAGAAATTAGGATTCTCTTAAGGGAGTATATGGTTAGAATACCAACAGATTGAGTTTTAATTAAATTAGATGAATTGATTTGCAATATAAAAAGAGCGATTAATTAAGGCTTTAATTCAGAACATAAAAGGAAGATCGAGGAAAAATGAATCCCTAACTACGCTTTTCTTGATTGCTTGAATATTTGATTTTGCATTTTGTTCTTGTTTTTAATTTAATTATTAATTAATTTTAATTAAAACTCTCATTCGAATTATCCAAGTTAAGTAAAAATAGTGAACTAGTGCTTGAAACACTAATCCTCATGGGAACGATAATCTACTCACTTCTTTATTACTTGTACGATCGATATATTTGCCGTGGTCGTGACAATGTTACATAAGATAGCTTCCCTCATGTTGTAGACACAAAAAATATAGGGCCCACTTATTTTTTTTTAAAAAACTCAAGGCACATCTTTTGATTATTGTGTAGGAGGTATGTTTTTTCTCGTGTAACAGGAGAAAAACATACCTCATATTATATTTTGAGAAATAATTCTTATACACCATATTTTTTATATGATGTATTATACTTTTTTATATTCAAAAATAGGAAAAATGTGTGTGTGTGTGTGTAGCACAATAATATTCTTATGTTACATGAGATAATTTTTTTTTTAATGCACTTACAAATTAGAGAAGGGAGAGAGAAAAAATATAGAGTTAGCCTTATCTTTGATTTGTGACTGCATGAGATAATTTTGTTAGGCTAACTCTATATTTTTTTCTCCCTCCTCCTCTAATTTGTGAGTGCATGAGAAAAATTTTCTTTCATGTAACATGAGAGTAATATTGTGCTATATATATAGGGGTTTGCTATTCTTATGCAATAGAAGATAACTTATCTTATGTTGCTGAAACAAATGACGTAGGACCCCTTTTTTATAAGAAAAAGAAGAAAAGAAAAAAACCTAAAGGGCCCACCATTTGTTAGTATAGGAGAGACTTATTTTATGTAACTGGAGAAAATGTTTTCCCATATATATATATATATATATATATATATATATATATATATATATATATACATAGAGAGAGAGAGGGGCAGGATCCTTTGACACCAGTGTCAAATTTGAAATTTGACACCTCGTCTGAGAGCCGTTAAATTAAAAAAGATCAATAGCTCTGATTTGTGAGCATGTGACACCATTGATCTTTTTTTATCTAACGGCTCTCAGATGAGGTGTCAAAGGATCCTACCTTATATATATGTATATATGTGTGTGTGTGTGGGAAAAACATTTCTCAAGCTGCTTGAGATAAATTTATCTCCGGCCACTCTAAAATTACGTCGTTTTGATTATTTATTTCCTTATATGTATTGATTCACATTTGAATGATTATTATTCTCCTTTTCTCTCTCTTCCTTTATCACCATTGATCCATCTTTGTACAGTTATGATTTAGTAGCCGAAGATAACTTTATCTCCGGCAGCTTGAGAAATGATAAGCCCTATATATATATATATATATATATATATATATATATATATATATATATATATATATTAAGTTACTTTAGACAATTTTGACTAACAAATTGAACAATTAATTTTGTTATTTATTTATAATTTTTTATTTTAGAAATATATTTGTAATTTGATATATCTTACTCAAAGTTAGAATAAGAATATTGTTAGTGTATCTGGTTATAATAGATTTACATACAAATCACCGCTATGAACATTTGACACATTTTTCACTATTAATATTTAAAGAACATTAATATTGACTTAAAAAATTATTCTAAATTTATTACAAAAATTGCCTGCTAAAGAAGTATTGTTGGATGATTGCACGTAATTATCTTACCTTCTTGGTGGAAAATTTCAATATGGTCTCAGACCATATAATATTAATGTGCTCCCTCTCACATAATTTTTTCATTTTACTTTTTTTTTTTTTTTATCCATTTTCTCACCTTACCTCCCTATTTAACCAAGGGAGCGGATGCTCCAAGACCACACAATCTCGGGCAGGCCTGTGGTCCGCACAATTAAAAGGCTCTTGGCGGAAAATGGTGAGATTTTCTGTAGCACCCTATTGGCTATTGGATACCCTACTATGATAGGAATCTTTGGAACCAAATAAACACAAATTCCAAGCCTGCAAGACTTGTCTTCATACACACCGCGTCCTCTATGAACTTCTTTGTTGTGCTCAGCTCACACACACACATACACAAAAGAACAGGCAGGCTTTTTCTGCGAAAGAGAGAAGATGTTTGGGAAACTTGAGCATGAGCTAGAGCTTCATGTGCCGGCGATTGAGGCATGGGATCTCTTTGGTGGGCTTGGAATAGGAAAACTTGTTGAGCAAGAGCTCCCCCAAATGTTTCAGAAGGTGGAGCTTATCGAAGGAGATGGAGGGCTTGGCACTGTCCTCAAACTTACATTTTCCCCAGGTCTTATATCACACTATTACTTCGAGATATAAAATTGCTATATTGCAAAATTCAACATGTAGTATATAAAACGGCTAAAGCACCAATTTAGAATTTTTAAGCAAAAGAATTATCCACTTAAGTTTTTTCAAACTAACGCCATATTCACGAGACTTAGTCTTGTCAATAACAGACTCGTCCCATGTCAGCATCACGTAAATAATCTCGTTATCATAAAATTTTGAAAGGTTATAATTGTTGATTCGGGTATTCAAATCAGATTTTTTTTATTTGACATAATTTTTTGAGATTTATATAATGACACCTCATTTAATATATTTTAGCTTCCACAAACATATGAGCTGCTGCACGTGCCATCTTTTGTATTTTAACGCTCTTATTATTGTGATACCATGGTTACAAATTTAAACTATGTTTGTGGGAGATAAAATATGTCAAATGAGGTGTTATTGTGTAAATCTCGAAAAGTTATGTGAAATAAAAAAAATTTGATTTGGATACCCAGTCAAAAGTTATGGTTTTCCGAAATTTTACAGTAAGAGGACTGTTTACGTGACGCTGACATGGCACGAGTCCCGTCAATATCAGTGACGTATTTGAGTGCATTAGTTTGAAAAAATTTATCCAATCAGCTTTTACTAAGCAATTTTTTTATTCAAAAATCTTAAAACGGTGTTTTTCCCATATAAAACCCAAGATGCATGCTGTTCTTTTAAATATTCATTCATGATCTATAATTTGGGGTATATTACCATTTCAAATTCACTATGTAGTATATTGATTGTTGTAGTTGGAGTTTAATTAGGTTTGCCTGGACCTGCTTGTTACAAGGAGAAGTTCACCAAGATTGATAATGAGAAACGCATCAAAGAAGCAGAGGTAATTGAAGGAGGGTACTTAGAGTTAGGATTCACTTTATATAGAGTTCTCTTTGAAGTAACAGAGAAAGGTGAAGATTCGAGCATAATCAAATCTACAATTGAGTATGAACTCAAGGAAGAGGACGCAGCTAATACCTCACTTGTTTCCATCCAGCCACTCGCAATCATTGCAGAACTTGCCAAGAATTATCTCATAAAAAACAAGGCTGCCAAAGAAGCAAAGTAATCATTTTAATTCCCAATAATACTAGAGAAATGAAACCTCTATGTCATGTGACTTTGCCTAGTTCAAGAATAAAATGACCGAGTTGCTTTGCTTCCTACCTTTTGTTTCATTAATTCATATCATCATGTATTCTTTTTCATAATTAGAATTGGGTGATATGAAATGCATTTCCTTGATCACTACATTTGTCCGGTTAAATTCAGAACATTCAACCTTGGGACATGTTCAATGTAACTTCCTAGTTACTCGAGATATAGTTGAGCACTTTGACCTTCAAACTGGGAATTCATCGAAATTATTAGTGGTTTAATTAAGGAAGATCCAAAAGAAATCAGAAAAATATTAAAAGAAGCACCTTGTGGGATAGTTATATTGAAGACTAAATACTCTCAGCAAATTTTACAATACCCGTTTTAGTCCCTAGCAAATAAAAAGGTTATTTGTGGTCAAATTCAAAGTGGATCTATTTTAGTTCTTTTGAGGGACTAATATGAGTCTTTTTTGAATTTGTGAGGGAGCACGATGTCAACTAAATGAGTCTATTTTGAATTTCTTAGAGACCACGAATAGCCTTTTTTATTTGTTAGGGACTAAAGCGGGCATCGTAAAATTTGCTTACGACCAAAAATAATATTTATTCTATATTCAATTGTGTCACACAAACTAACGACTAATTCAATGACATTTGGACAGGACGAAGCTCATTGAAATAAATATGGGGATACATTAAGAAATTCAGCCCAAATTCTAGTTGGTTCTGTTATGAAAGTTCAGGCAAGGAAACATAGAGGAGCACTTAATGAGAGTCAAGAAATCTGGTATCAAATAAATCTACGAGTCATTAAACATGATTCACATTTTCAAATAAATATCAATTTAAAATCCAGCTTATTACAATCAAAGCTCAATTAAAATGAAACAACGGATTTGATTATAACTTGTTGGCAGATTCAACAATAACAAATTTGGCTTGTTTCCAGGGTTAAAATTTGAGACGTATTTAAGTGTAATTAATTACTTTTATCTTTAAAATTTTTCTTTATTTTTAAAAATCCTTATTTTTTTGCTTTAGAATCTTCCTTTAATTTTATGATTTTAAATTTTGAATTAGTCAGTAATTAGTGTTTAAATTTTTTAATATTATTTTCATTTTCGAGAGCAAGTTCTCCTTGTCAATCATAATTTTTTTGTTTAGCCTACTTTATGTATTTTTCGGGTTAAGTTGCATGGTTTATCACATGGTGCAGATAATTTACTTAGACGTTGACTAGGCTTGGCTCATCACATGATCGATGCAGATTATTCGATCCAAACCCATTTAAATCGGGGTATCGAACTGAAAAATTTGATAATTGAATTAACCGAAAATCAAAAAATTAAAAATAAAAAAAATTGCAAAATTTAATTGTATTGAATTGGTTTCCGACTTGATAGATAAAAAGTGATCCAATCAAAACCAATCCAATGAGTCTTCAACCTTAACCTCTACTTACTTGGACTTATTCCTCAATCATAGGCCAAAAATTCATATAGCAAAATTCTAAACACAAGAATTATTAATCCATCATGTTGAAAAAAGTAGGTTATGCTTGATTTATGTTATGCCTTTTTTCTTTTTTTTTGCAAGATACATTATATATATTAGTAGGCTACATTATATATTTTTATTGCTTGAGTTATTGTTGTACAACAGCTCTTTTGTAGGATGAAAATTTGAGTTATTCTATATCTCAGGCAATCACATTATAAATTGTTTGTTCAGAAGTAAAAGATGATAATTCAACTTTTTGTTGTACTATATTAAAAATCAGATTATCGTTTACTAATGCTTCTAGATTACAGAATCATACAAACCTTACAAAGTCAATATATACAAAAAATATGTTATTTGCACAATAATCATCACACAAATTTTAAGCTTTTAAAAAAATTGAAAAGTGATTTAATCGAATTCAAATCGAATAAAATTGAATTGGATCAAATTTAAAAAAAAATCTAAACTAAATGAATAATTACATAATCAAACCAAACATAATTTTGTTTCTAAAATCAATCCAAAGCACTAACAACCTTAATGCATATATCTTAAATTTGTTCAAGACATGACACTATTACTATAAATTTGATATGAAAATTATGTCAAATTCTGAAATTCAATTCTATGCTATAGACCTAGTCAGAGCTCCTAGGTACTTGCAATAATTTTGACAAGCACTTATTTATATATTGATTGAATTGACTATTAAGTATATATTAATTCAGAATAAGATAACGACGAAATAAACCTATCATCATCTTTTATTATCAAGCGGAAACACTTTTTTTTTTGTCCCGACAAAAAATACGGTCACTTTAGTCTTTTACAAAAATAATTCAGTTAGTTAGTCCCTAACAAATTTAAAATAGACCTATTTTAGTCCTTTTGAGGGACTAATATGAGTCTTTTTTAAATTTGTGAGGGACCACGATTTCAACTAAATGGGTCTACTTTGAATTTGTTATGGACTAACTGAATAATTTATTTTTGTAAGAGACTAAAGTAGGGACCGTATTTTTTGTTAGGGACAAAAAAAAAAAGATATTTACTCTAATATCAATGTAAACGTATCTTATCTCGCGTCGTCTTCTCAACTAATATTCTTACCATAGGAGTAAATCTTTTACTTGGGTGAATTGTTTATTTCACCAACTCTTCTAATAATAATTAATGGCTGTGACAGACCCAACTTTATAAACAACATTTTCTTGTGCTAGTAAGTTGAACAACCTTTAGTTTGAGAAACAGTGGCTAGTCCGTTCTACTAATCCAATTAACAAAACTCTTTTACTTTCCCTAACAAAAAAAAAAAGTAATTTAATTTAACGAAATCAGTCTGTATGTGGCAAACATGTTCAAAGTGGGAAGTAAGTTAGCTTGGATTATATATATTAAACAGTTATTTTACAAATCAAATTCAAGGAAATCAAGTTCAACAAGTAACAGGGTAGATCTTGTTATTCTTGTTGGCAAATTTTCCATTTACACGAAACCATTTAGAAAAAATGGACTGTCATTGGTTAGTGAGTTAATTAAAATAGGAAAATATAATTAAACATTCAAAAGCAAAACTAGGTGGCTTGTAAATGTGGATAATGAGGTAATGTTTGGAGAAAATCCCCGGCAAGGTCTACCATCCTTTTAACCCCCATATTGACTATTGTATTCATGATGTCACTTCTCTGGTTTGTGAGACAGCATAGAACACTATCTAATGTGTCTAGAAGAAAAAGAATGCAGCATTGCAAAACAACAATTTCACGTTAGACTCTCTTAGACTTGAACGGTGGATAATATACGAATTTGTTCATATGTATTGATAAATTCCACAATATTTATTATTTGTTAGTAGAATATAAGATGGTGAGGACCAAATTTATGACCACTTGATTATAGACTCTAATATTATATGAAGAATTAATTCACTTAAATTATTATGTGAGATTACATTAATGATTTATATTATATTTTTCTAATACGCCTCCTCATATAAATATTTATTGAGCTTGAAGGGTAAATAATATAAATATTTATTTATCTATATCAACAAATTCAATAATATTTAATTATTTATTAATAAAATTGGTGCAATGAGCATGAATAGAACACACAGATTAAAAGGTGTGCTCCAATCCGCACTTTTTACTTTGTGTCATAATTCAAACACGTGTGGATCAACTAGATTATTTTAGCTTAATTAATGGTCTTGCATATCCAGTTGGGTTAAATGCTTGGTAGAGAGAATTTTATTGTTGGAAATTATTTTTTCTACCAATTTATTATAGGGGGAAATAGTTTTCCTGTTATTAGAAGAATTCTTTCTTCTACAACGATATATCGAATTGTGTGCAATTTTTTTTTATTTTTTATTTTTAATGGATAGTGGGATCCATCATATTTTATGTGTATAGTAAGAGAGAGAAAATCTCATGTTGCATAAGAAAAAATGACCATTTATTATAACCTTCAATCACCCATCATTACCAATTTTTTTGTTGGTCATTAAAGGCATTAATTCCGCCATGTTATATATCGCGAATGGAGTTCGTGAAATGTTTCATGGCAAGCAGCTACACCTCCACAAACCAACTGATATCACTCCACTATTTCGTATGTATTTCACGAAATTTGTTTCATTCATCATTTCCCTTATCAAATTTTTGCAACATTATAGATTATATCACGGGAGGGTAGCTGCTCTATAGTCTATATATAAAAGTAGGATATTCAACTTTCAAGTCTTATAATATCAATCGATTTTAATTAGAGCAAAGCAAGAGTACTCTCAGTATATCAAACCATTTCCTTTTTCGGAATTATGTGAGATTTTAACCAAACATTTTTGTAGTTAAAGAAGCTAATTTCTTTTAATAAGATAATAATATAAATAATTACAAAGGCCTTCACCTAACACCTTAAAGTTTTGGGTTGAAGTAATTCTTTACATGGTATCACGAGTTCGATCATCACCGCTCCCCACTTGTGGAATTAAATAAAAAAAGTACAAAAGGTAAACCAAAAATTAAACCTGTACAATAACAGATTTTGAGTTGAAGTGGTTCTTTATACGTTGATGAATTGTTAATAATGTGACAATTCACAGAAGGCAGTGACATATGTATATCTGGATGCTTCTTAATTATATAAAAACTATAATGAAACTATCCCATGTGAGATGTATATGATTGATTAGTTGTTTCCTGATTTCCTCTCATTGTTTATCATTAATTGCTTCGCTATAGGAAGTGTCTTATACATCTGGTTCAATGCTCAAAAAGCGGAAACAAATTATAAAACCCTTTGTTTGGTAAAAGGAAGATCAACTGTTACAATTGAAGCACTCAGGATTAGTTGGAGACTTCTTTTTATAAATTAGTATGATTTTAATATAAAAAAATCAATTGTTTATATACACATGAAGACAATAGTTCCAAAATTTCTGTTAATATTGATGATATTTAGTCTTATGATTGAGAAACATTTTGGTAATACAGATATAAAGACGACGACTTAGACCAATGGATAGTGTATGAGATTGGGAATTTGGATATTAAACTGCAAATTATCATTGCCATTGCAGTCAATACTATGCGTCCACCTTTAAGAATTGTAGTGAATATATAAGGAGTTGCAATTGGAGACGCTATAAGACATTCTTAAAGTTATTCTCACCCTCACCTAAACATATAGAAAAGGTTGACGGGTTCTTCAATGAATTTAAAACTAATAGATATGGATTACACAAAAGAAAAGAGAGTACTCTTCAATAATTTCTTGTACAATACATACGTATAACCCTTTTCCAATTAGGGGTTGACCATGAACTGCTTTTCATGATTATTTGCTATGAAATATGGCGGTGGAATGAACATACGCAAGCATCTTCACTTGCACTACCTAATAAGATTGAATAAAAGGCCAGCGTATCTAACATTTGGTTCTCTTGGATAAAGTTTTGATTTTCTTTTGATATTATCGATGAGTTCCGATTCGAGCCGTGTAAAACTACATGCACTATCAAACTGATTAAGTTAGAACAATTCCTTATGAGTTAATCTATATGCTTGGTTGTAATAAAATATATTTAAGGCGATCAAATTCAGAGTTTTAATTTGTCTACGTACCCGAATATCTATGTTTATACTTTCTAGTATATTTTAGGAGAAGTATCTGTTTACAATTTTTTTTTACAAATTACATTAAGTATGACTGGTCATACACTCTTGATTCAGTGGCGGACCCAAAAAAAATTCTTTATGTCCGCACATTTAGTGGTGGGTTGCCCCCGGATTTTTTTTTTTTTTGTAAAGACAGTTTAGATTAACGCTTTATATACAAGGTTTTCATTTCGCACATAATCTAGTTGATTCCATAACAAGCTGCAAGCAATAGTTTGACAAAAAATTAGGTCTCCACTTTAGTCCCTTACAAAAAAAAAATTAGTGATTTGGTCCCTATAAAATTCAAAGTGGACACATTTTAGTCCTTTTAAGCAACTAATGTGGGTCTTTTTTGAATTTGTGAGGGATCACGATTTTAACTAAATTGATCCACTTTGAATTTCTTAGGAATCTCAAGACTAATTTTTTTTATAAGGGACTAATAAAGTGGGGACCGTATTTTTTGTTAAGGACTTAAAATGGTATTTACTCCTAATATAAATATTGAACCAAGATACAAATAAGAACGCACAACAAAAAATAAAATAAAATAAAGTGACAATGTTTATGTCTGCACTTGCGGACATGTGCCCCAACCTGGGTCCGCCAATCTGTTTTAATTAAAGTATAACCGGTCAGACATAATATATTTTATAAGAGTTTGTAAATAAAAAATTTGTGAATATAAGTTTTATTTATATTTTATGTAGATTCCTAAAAAGCACTATGCATATAAATGGGTACCTACATAAAATTATGATTTCGTTAGGAATGTGTTAGGGCTTGGTTGGGGTCCCACAAGAGGACTGTTAGTATAGTTTTGCGTAATTGATTTGCATGATACGAAACATAATCAAATTAACAGAGGATGTTATGTTATACAAATTCGATGTTTTCAGAGGGAGGTTTCTTCTCCTTATGGGCCATGAAAAGTGAGCTTCACACTCGCTAAAAGGTTGCCACGTGGAAACCTACCCTACTTGGTAGTTTAAGTTTGTTGCTGATGTGTTGCCATATTGGTGTAAAGTACGTAGAAGGTGGCAATGGTTATACGCATGCTCCTTATTGTGCCTTGTTCTTGTAGTACAAGTGAATGACATGTTGAAAATTTGCGTATCCATTGTTAGAAATTCACTCCTTTATTCCTTTAATTTCCTAGTTAATTTACGTACGTTCTATATATGAACATTATGTCATGGAGTTAACGTTGACTTGGCTACTTTCATGCTCGTCATGGAAAATTTAGACAAGAACTTTAAGTAAAGACAAATTAGCAAGGGAAAGAAGATAAGGAAGAAGCTATTAGGCAACTTTGACATATGCATGCGATATGTTGTCCTTAAAAGATTCTCAATTTTGAAAAGTTAATAATAATTATTGTAATTATGAAAATCAGAACTTTACTTCCTTTTCAGTTAGAAGTTGGAGAAACTAATTATCTATTTTTAAGAATGATGAAGAAACTAAATATAGTTTTTCAAAGGAAATTTTTTTCTGTAAACTGTTCAATGAAAATGGGTGTGGCTAATTACGTTTCTACGTATATCCTTTGAAAATAAAAGTTATGAGCAGAAGCATGACTATGAGTAGTGTCTTTTAATACTCTTCAGGGTCGTTATCTATGCGTAAAATACAGGACAAAATTGGAATTTTTTTATCATATATAACACGACAACCAAGTCTTAGGAAGCATTGGTATTCCAAACATAACCACGCTATATATAGCAAGTACCTCTCTGGAAATATCCAAGCTTCAACAGAGTACACTATAAGTCTATAAACCTTCATTCTCCATTTCACAACACTCCAAGGTTTAGATTCTTTTGCTCTCTTTGTTGTCATGGAAATTACGTACTCCCAGAATCAAACTAATTGTTATGTTATTTCCAATCTGTTTGTGCAGTGCCAGTGATGATGGGGAGGACACCATTAAGTGATGAAAGTGGTTTGAAGAAAGGGCCTTGGACCCCAGAAGAGGATAGTATATTGATGAATTACATTCAGAAACACGGCCATGGAAGTTGGAGAGCACTTCCAAAGCTTGCAGGATTGAACAGGTGTGGGAAGAGTTGCAGGCTAAGGTGGACTAACTATTTGAGGCCTGATATCAAAAGAGGAAAGTTCTCTGAGGAAGAAGAACAAGTCATCATCAATTTACATGGAGCTCTCGGAAATAAGTAATCTCTGAATTAGTATTCATTATTCATTACTATTTGGGTGGAGGGGTTACTGAAAGAATCTAATAATTGAAGATTAAAAATTCAGTTAGTTAACTACATTCCACTTCGAAGTTCTGAAATGAATTAGCAATTTTCATAAATGGCAAGCTTAAAGTGATGCTTAGAATGATTGCTCACAATTTAGGCTAGCTTAGACTATATTATGTTAATTTTTTTTAAGAATACTATATATATAAATGAACTGATTATGATTTGTATATACTTTATTTCCATTATTAGGTGGTCAGCTATAGCAGGTCATCTACCAGGGAGGACTGATAATGAAATTAAGAATTTCTGGAACACACATTTAAAGAAAAAGCTTATGCAAATGGGGTTAGATCCAGTTACCCATCGTCCAAGATTAGATCACCTTAATATTCTATCCAATCTCCAACAGTTGCTGGCTGCTACAAACTTTGTTAATAGTTTTACAAACACTTGGGACATTAATGCTCTAAGGCTGCAATCAGATGCCACACAACTAGCCAAACTCCAATTGCTGCAGAACATACTTCAAGTCCTTGGTTCCAATCCTACCTCAAACTTGGAGCTACTCAATCCATTTGGACCATCATCCTCAGTGCCAGACGGTTTTCTACATGAAGTTTTAGGATTGAATCAGTCTATGCTCCAAAACCTTTGTAATAGTTCAGCTGGTTTTCCCTCTCAAAATCAGCCCAATTTCCAAAGCTTTGAAGCCCCTCATCAGCAGCAGCCAGCTCAACTCAATGGGCATCACCACATGAATGGTGGCAGCAGTAGTAGTAGTTGCATGAAGTCTCAAAAGGTTGAGGAACAAGTTGATGCCACAAATTCTTCATCAACACTATTCAATTCGCTTCCAAATCTGGTTTCAGCCTCACCTGAATGTTCCACTGTCAAGCAAATGGAAAACAAGGTGAACCCAAATGAGTGCTCTAACCCTTCTTCCACTTCAACCGGATTTGAAATGTTGGGAGATTTCATGTATGAGGAAGTAAGCGATGCCTATTGGAAAGATTTCATAGAGTAAGTAACCTTTATGATAATATTATTGCACCGTTTTTCTAGCTCCACTTGTGCTTATTATATTTTTCTCTTAAGAATTTATTTGTTAATGTCATGACATACTCATTTTTCTCTCCTTATAATTGCAGCCAAGATTCTAACCAGTAACCAGCCAGAGTCAACAGTCTCATAAAAAGACAACGGTATTCAAGGTTTATCAGAGCCATAATGGGAAGTATCATTGATCTTTAGGATCAACACATAGTGTTCATTTAGGTATAGCTGGTTGGTTTATAAGTATTTGAAGATGGATTGATTTTTGGATTCAAACATTATATAAGCTTCCATTGTATAGACGATTTACACATGGAGATTATACTTTATTTTACAGAATACAATCCTCTCATATTCATCTTCATGCATTAATTGCAGCACATAAATCTCAGCTCACTCAATAAATGCAGCTTTCTTTATTAAATAATATTATTTGTGATGGATACTAAAAGTCTTTATACTTTTATGAATCCCTGAAATTTGAATGGTTGGAAATAAAACAGGATGGAAAAGATGTGTGCTCCACTAGCTTCTTGTCTGTTTCATCTTTCCACCAGAAATTAACACTTTAGAACAAGAGTCAAGAGAAGCAAACAAATTATTAACATATTCGAGACTTAGAAACTTGAAGAATGGGCAAAAATGAGTGAATACTAATTAAGACGATTAGTTGTGGAGACTGACACATAATATAATACAGTGAAAATGACCAATTCAGTTTTTTTAAGTAAAAAGAGGTTTCTAAGTTCTAAACATAGAAGGGAGACAAACTCAAGTCAAACTTCTCAAAACCTTAAGGAAAACGTTGCTCAAACACCCATTTTCTAATGCAATAAAACTCTCCTGACTCTGACACTTAGAAATCATCATGGAAAATCGAATCGTAAATAATTTAGTCAAGAGGTGAAGTTAGTATGATCTTTCTTATAACTTGTTGATAACTCTATCTACCATTTGATATAAAGACAAATTTTTGTTCACTGTTAGGTAAGACTATTCCTGTTGATTTTGATCTTACAAGCAATGAAAAAACAATCCATAAATCGTATTACTTCCTCCATTTATCAAGGGAAGTAAAAATCCACTCGTAAACTGTAATTTAATTAAATACAAATACCACTATTATAATGGAATTATGATTATTATTTATATTTTATTTTAAAATTAAAAGAAATGCAAGAACATTTTACTTTACACATCACAATACTAGCATATATATACAAGGCAAACGCATTTTCTACTATTGAATGGACAAGTATAGGGTAAACAATTTTATTATTCTCTCCTTCTATCAAACATATGCATGAAAATTTCAACCAAAAAAAAAAAAAAACATATGCATGAAAAAGGTAAATGGACTTTCACAAAAAAAATTAAAGAGAAAGCATCCAATACAAAAAAGACATCGGAGATACCACAAACTCTCTCTAAAAGAGAAGGGTTACATACATCAACCAATAGAAGCAAAAGACGATTCCACCATTAACTCAACGAGGAAATTTCACGCGATTAAAGATAAGTCTGCATTGCAGGTTCATAATGTAGCGAACTAATTACAAGTTGAAATATGGGGTTCTATATTAAGAAGGTAAAAATATACTGATAGGACTAATTACAAGTTGAATCTACATAACATTGTAATTCATTAAATGGTCATCATGCGTCAAAGGGAAGTCCCAAGTAAACGTCAGAACTGAAACATTGAAATTCTTCTATATAGACTTTCAATTGATAGGGATGAGATAAAAATACAATCCAACTTGCCACTTCTTTCGTCAAATCTAGATTGGAGGGCAAGGGACAAGAGCATAAATCAAGTGGGGGAAAAATAGTTGCATTTGCGACACATACAATTTGGTTACTAACATGGAGAAGGAGAACCACAACCCAAAAGAAACACTAGCAAAGAGTCCTAAACAATATTACAAGCCTCGTCATTCTTTAAAAATCCTAGTCCGAGAAGCAAAAAAAAAAATCATAAATCAAACACGTGCAAACAATTGAATGTTCAATATACCTCCCCAAAGTTGAATATTGTTCTATTTCTGGTTGCTAGCACCCTTTTTCTTGAGCAGGCTTCCGAACTTGCCAAGCAAAGGCTTCTTCTTCTTCTTCTTCAATTGTTGTTGTTGTTTTGATGGTGAGCTCCCACCATCATCAATGCTCTCTGTTACAGAGGTTCCGTTTATCTTATCAAAGCTCTCACTGCCATCCATCTTTGAGTCAACTTCTTCTTCGAATGATTCGGGCTCTGGTTCTGTCTCTGGCGAGAACTCCTTTTTGTCTATCTTGCAGCTCTCCCACATTTTATATTCAACTTCTACTGAATCATCTTTTTCTTTGCTATCATCTTCCTTCAGTTTTCCATTCACATCCTCAGGTTTAGGAGATTCAATTTTTTCAGCCGTGTCATTCGAGAGAATGCTTTCTTCCAGTAAGCTTTCTTTGAGTCCCTCCTGATTGACTGAAAGCTCTTCCTTTGAAATATCTTCTCCTCCATGCCCATTTTCTTCAGAAAATTCAACTACTTTAGGAAGCAAATCATAGTCCTTCTCACTGTCCGTAAGATCCCCATTTTCCTCAGTGTGGTTTCTGGTTGTAGCTTCTTCCAGCAACTTAGATAACTCCTCCACCTTCTTAATAGATTCAGATTCCCGAGTTCGGAGTTCATCGTTTTCTTGGAAAACGTTCTGCAACTCATTTTCTTTATCCAATATACTCTCCTTCAATTTCATGTTCTCAGCCGTTGCATCCTTAAGAGCTTCCTGAAGTTGGATTGCCTCAGCCTCAACTTCCTTCAGATTTTCCTTCAACTGAGCTTCTTCCTCCCTGTTGAAACTAGCTTCTTCCTCAGTTTCTTTAAGCAAATAAACCAATCTATTTATTTCTTTTTCCAGGGACGTGTTCTCTTCTTCATTTTTCTTTAAGCAGCTGAGTAGATGAAGTTCTCTCTGCTCCCACTCAGCCTTGGAGTTCTCAAACGTATTCTTAGAAGTTTCGATACTACATATAAGAACGTCAATCTCATGCCGTGCATCATTAAGAATGGACTCATATTTTTCATTAGTAGCTTTTAAGACTAATTTCAAATCTTCAATCTGGGTCTCATAGATTTCATATTCAGCTTGACTGCTAAGTAGATTTTCTTTGGCTTCTCTAGATTCTGCAGACACTTCATGTAATGCAGAAGCTAAGCTTTCCATTGCCTTTTTGCTCTTTTCTTCTTCATCCCTAGAATTCTCCAATTCATTGATAAGTTTGTTTTTCTCTTCTAATAGGGTCTGCACACTAGAAGCTGCAAGCTTCTCATTTTTCAAAGCCTGAGCTTTCTCTTCCTTAACTCTCTCAAGTTCAGATTTTAGAGACTCAATCTTCTTCGACTTTTCAAGACTTTCTTCCTTAGCCTTAAGAAGTTGATGTTCTGAATCCTCCAGATCAGCTCTTTGTCTCCCAATTGTCATTTCTAACAATCCCACCTTCTCTCTAAGAGTAGCAACTTCAGATTCGGCATCATGCAACAAATTATTGTTTCCTTCTAGCTGTTTCATAACAGATTCCAAATATTCTGATGCAGATCTCTCCAAATTATTTGCTTCTTCAACCCTCATTTCTAGTTCCTCAACCTTCTTCTTCCACTCCTCTAGCAGACTATGTGCATAAGATTCAGCCATCTTTGAGGCTTCTAGCTCCACATTAAGCTGTTCAATAGAAGTTTCTTTCTCTTTCATCTTCTCATCATAATCCTTGGTTTTTTCAAGTTTTTGCTTGAGAGCCTCTATCTCTGTTTTGAGCTTCAATATAAGCTTATTTTCATTAGCCTCTGTTTCCCCTTTTGCCTCTAGTAAGGCCTTCAACCGTGTCAGTTCAACTGAAAAAAACTCTGCTTTCTCTGCATGAATCTCGGCAATTTTAGTTGCAGCATCAGCGTGATTCAATGCCTGGTTCTTTGCATCACAAGTCATGGAAAGTTCTTGGTTAACCCGCTGAAGCTCCTGAGTGGTGGAGAGAAGAGCAGCCACATCCAAAGCATGCTGGTTTCTCACACTTTCAAGCTCTTTCTGCCATTCTTCTTCTTTCTTCTTCGCAGTTTCAATTCCAGCCTGTTCCAATTCAACAGCTCGGAACTTCTCAATCTCCGAATTCTCCTCAGCCTGCTTTTGAGCCACCAATGCCTCCCCGAGTTTCTCATTTGCCTCCTCAGCCACTCTCTGTGCTTCTTTCAGCTCATCAATTGCTTTTACCTTCTCCTTCTCAGCCTGAATGAGCTGCTCCTTTGCTTTCTTTAGATCTTCTTGAGCAAGATTCAACTGGTTCTGCAATTCTGAACCCTTTGCAGCTCTTGGGGGTTGTTTCTGAAAAACCAAGGAATATATAAGCATGCAACAGAGTACAGATACCCTTTAAAGGAAAGCATTATTAAGTAAAATACTTTGCCGTATCAACTATCAAGAATAATGAAAGAAGCATCTCCAGCAGTTTTCAACCAAATACTGGACATCTCAGAATAAAGGGTAAGAAGTCATGCATTATCTAAAATTTTAAGTTCCAAGCAAAAATGTCAAAAAATTAGCACTAACTGACTGAGTAACGCATCCTAACACATCTCAGATGTTTCCTTATTACACTCGTCAGAAGACTTCAGATGTTGGGAAGTTCAAATGCTTCATCCAAAATAAAGAAATGGAAATGAACAGTTCTTCAAAGGCAGCTATTTGGTAATAAAGACAACCATGACTGAATTTCAAGGAAAGAGAGGACAGTAAGTGCACTCTATAACTTACATCTGGTGGAGTGGAGGTGGGTCTTGGTGATTTCCGCTCAACAGTGGGCTTAGAATTCACAGATCGCGGTGATCGTTCCGCAGAGAGGCGCGAATTTTGCAAAGGTGATAGTGATTCTGATTCTGATTTGGACATTACTTTGCTAACTTTACTGACTCTTGGTGTAGCCAGTGATGCTTTGTTGGGATTTCCAGATAGATTGGATCTATCAAATTCATAATGTCAATAGCAGATCAACGATGCATTTAATGAAACATACATGATACAATACAAGATAAGAAAACAAAATGCCTTAGTCGTATCCAATCAGATAGATGGGATCTAAGCCACAAGAAAGCAACCCTTATGCCAAATTCAGCATCCAGAAGCCAAACTCATTGAACAACAAGTGAAAACTAGGGCAAGAACCGCAGATAGTGATGCAATCAATAATGTATAATAAGCCTGAACTAACATAATTGTACAAAATCAAGACAGAATAAGCATATATGAGAAAGAAGTGAAACCAAATTTTGAATTGTAGGCAGAAAGCTTTTAGAAAACAAAACAAAAACACAAAAAGTTTCAACAGATGAACAGAAGAGAAACACACTTAAATTTGAAAGTTAGAAACTTTAGGTGAAAATTCTACAGCAGCATATCACAATTACCAGATCAAACCCCATCAAGCAGAAACTTATTACATAGACAAAAATAAATAAATAAAACAAACTAAGCAGCACACACAAGCAATTGAAGAAACCCAAATCAGTTCTTCACATGATAGTCATACTCACACCCACAAACACCAAGCTTCACTAACCTAGATTTTGAAGCCATGGAGGAAGTTGTCTCAGTAACAAGAAAAAGTAATAAAGGTAATGCCTTTGCTTAAAGAGGGTCAGTTTCAGAATTGGGAATGTCAGACTTCTGACATTGTAAGAAAGAAAGAATCCAAACCCAACAAATTTTGGATCAGAGTAAGTTACAGATTCTACAAAAATTTTTTTTTTTTTTTTTTTTTTTTGGGTTGAAGCAAAGGGAATTTACAGAGCAGAAACCAAATAATTAGAGGTGTTTTTCCAGTGTCTCCAGAGTGGGCACACTAGTCTCTCTCTCTCACAAATATTTTCTCTCTCTTAACCGTTTTCTTCTTCTTTTACTCTCAGTAATGTGTTTATTTTTAGGTGCAATCATGAATGGACAAAAGTAACCCTGATGGGGATTCTCTTTTTCTCTATCTGTCAATGGCATCTGTAACCTTTTTCAGAGGTAAAGCAAAAACTTGTGACTGTCTCTCTACCAAGCTCACCCTTTTACAGTAAATATTACATTAGTGAAAATAGATATCCTATGAATTTGGAAAAGAAAATGATTCTAATGAATTTAAATAGAATGTACGAAATTGTGTTGACATTTCGAGTTGTTTTCTTAAAAATGTAGTGAGGTTAAAATCTCCAATCAAATGCATGGTTTTCTTTTGTTAACTTTTTAAAATGTTTTTTTCTTTTCACAAAAGGAATATGAAATTTTAAATTTTTAATATCTAGTAATCTAATTATCTTGAGTTATTTTCTTAAGAATGTAGTGAGGTTCAGTTCACCAATATTCAAATGCATAATTTTTCTTTGGTTAACTTTGTAAAATGGTTTTTTCTTTCTTATAAGTTTCAATTTGTTATCTACTTTAAATATGTAAGCTTCTATAAACTATTCAAATTCTTCGCTACAATTCATTTTTTTTTTTTTTGGGGATTACTTTCGATCCGGATAAAATCTCGTCCTAAGTTGAAGTCTTTTAACTTAATTTTAATTTACTATCCCTTGCGAGTTTGCTTGGAAATTATTATATTCTTCTGTTAAATTGGAATCTAATAATGAGTACTAAAATAATTACATAAAAATTATTAAAGTGATTTTAACCTATCTTGTGATAATTACTGATAAGTTTTTCAATAAATACTTAAAAATTAGTAAACTTCCTCGTGATAAAAATGTATATTTTAGCCCTCATAAATTTTTTCAAAACATAGAAATCATTCTTAAAAAACTTATATAATTCAACATAAAAACGGGAATGAATATCTTTTTATGTCTTATTTTAATAATATAATGTCATGGGAAATATGTTAATTATTCATTTATAAATAAGGAAAATGATATACTTACCACCAAAAAAAGTTTACAACCTTTACAACTAACTTAATCACCGTTGATTTCCGTCAATCTAACAGTTATAATTTATTGAGAATTAATATATTAATTCTCAATAAACTATAACCGTTAGATTGACGGAAATCAACGGTGATTAAGTTGGTTGTAAATGTGGTAAACTTTTTTTGGTGATAAGTATATCATGCCCCTATTAATTAATAATGAAAATTTTAACCCAAAAAAAATCACTAAAATAAGAAAGTATAAACCGTCACTTTAATTATAAATCATTAAGCTGCATGTGAACGAATGATTGAAATCTTAATCATATAAAAATAAAAAATAAGAACATCCATTTTCCATAAAAGGCTTAAATATCAATAGCTCAAACATGAATTAATCCGGAACACTGACCAAAATGTCACTGTTCACCAACTTTTTTATCTAAATGTCACGGGGACAAGTTCGCTACCCGGTGTAGCGAACTCGTTGGCTGACGTGTCACGTTTCTAGTGGACACCAACTTGATTTTAACTAAGTTCGTCTACATGGTAGGCGACCTTGATTTTTTTTTTAAATCAAGTTCGCCTACATGGTAGGCGACCTTCACTTTTTTAATTATTTTTTTTTTAAAATTTGATACTTGTTATCCATTAAAAATGTGACACGTCAGCAAACCGAGTTCGCTACACAGGGTAGCGAACTTGCCCCCGTGGCATATTGGAACATATATAACACTGTTTGCGTGACATTTAGGTAAAAAAATTGATAAACGATAACATTTTAGTCACTGTTCCAATTAATCCCTCCCGAAAAACAAGGCATGCATGGTATGAAGCGTAAGGCTAGATAGACACAAGCGCAGAAACCATACAACCACTTTATGCCCTGGACCTGGATATTTTATATGAAATTCATTATCTCATGTTCTTGCACATAAAACTAAACATAAACACACACATATACATTAAATTAAGGTATAATATATTTTGAAAACAAATAAAATTTAGGGATGCAAATAATACATCCCCATATTAATTACATACTTGTATTTCTTTAAACGAAACTTATATGTAAGATTATATAACATGTTAAACAAATCATTTAATTTAAAAAACCGAGTGATGAAAAAATATCTAGTTATACACGCTAGTACAAGCACGTACACTTGCCACATATTCAATCATTTTAGGTTTGTTTACTTGTATTAACTTATTTTATATTTAAAATAAGGGAAAAAATATCTAATGTTATTTTAGATAATTTTGTCTAATGTTGATTCACCGAAACGACGTCATTTTGGGTTAAAAAATTAAAATGATAAATATTATTATAACTCTGAAATAAATTAAATTATAAATACACCATAATTTTCGTCCCAAAATGACGTCGTTTCAGTGAACATTAGACAAAGTTAGCTAAAGTAACTTTAGAAAAAATGAACGCTTAAAATAATTTATAACTATAATTTTACTGGAAAAAGTTTTTTTTCTTCCAAAATTATTGAAAACCAAATTCAAGATAAATATAATTATATTTTAACTTACCAAAAAAAAAATGATACTTTAACTAACGAACACAATTTATGTATCAAATCAAAACCTTTCCCACCAGCCCTTTTTATAGTTTATTTTCAGTTGTATGTTACATATATAGAAAAAAATACTTGACAAATATCATAGACATCTTATCATAACCATTCCATTCATATCTATCTCTCTTTTTCTTTTCCTTTCTCACATCAATTTTTTTTTTCTTGTTAAGAAATATTGTAGTTATCATTGATTTTACCGTTAGAGCAATAAACAAATTTAGGTTAACCCAACAGAGTTGCCGAGGGATCAATTTTGGTATGGTGAGAAGCTGACTAGCAACCAACAAGTAAACTTTCCTTTATCTTGAGGATGTGGCAAAACTGATTGGAATTCTGTGATTATAACATAAGGTAAAAGTTGAAAGTGAATGAGTGATGCAAGCTTCACTCACAGTATATGGATAAATATTTATTAATTTATACTTGCTTTCAATTGTAATTGTTAAGCTTTGCATATAAATTTTGGATATATTCCAAAAGATGGATATACTCAATTTGTCGCTATTGTTGTTTAATTTCCCCTTCTTTACAGGATTTTTGAAGTGGGACGAGAGCACAATAAGTTTCATTCCTCACAATTAATCTTTTCATTTCGTTGTTTTTATATTAAAATTTTGTATGATAATACTTTTTTTGTAGATAAATCACAGGTATCTTTCATGGGAAGCAATCATATTCGGGACGGATCCAGGATTAAGGCTTTAAATTTCTTCCAAAGATATATTGGGAAGGATCGAACACATGTTCTCACCCCACTTACTCAGCTCTCATGCGCCAACTGAACTATCATCATTTGATGGTATGATAATACTTTGTTGGGGAGGGTTATATTTACAAATTTTTTAGGGAAAAACTATTCTTATGCTACATGTGATAACTTTCTCTCCTACACACCCTTCGATAATTGTGCCACCTTTTTCTTTTATTTTCTTTTTATTTTTGAGATGGTGCAGCCCACAAATTTATCTCTATGACATGAGATAACTTATCTCCTTTAACATGAAATTAATCAAACCCAAGTTTTTATTTACAAACTCAACTATATTAACAAAAATATAATATTTTTGTACTTTGTTTTAAGAGTTTTACAGCGTTTCTTTCTCATGTCGTTCATATCATAATTATTTCGTTAAAAAGTAATTTTAAGTTTGTCAGTAATGATTACAATATAATATGTTGATTTGAAGTTAATTTTATCAAGAATTTTAATTAAATGTCTTAATTTGAAATCATCAAGAATGCTGTTGAGATCATTCATATTTTATACAAGTTTATGGATTTGTTTTGATATTTCATTGTAAGTATGATTGAGACGTAGAAAGAACAAACATATAACAAACAAAGTTAATAATATAGCAGTACTGTGTGTGATTTTCGATGTCAATTGACTTCGTGGCCAATTTAATCCTCAAAAAAAGCTCCAAAGTTAAAGTTAATTTTTTCAATTGACAAAATACGCATTTGCCTGGTTAAAATTTTCAATGTCTAATTAATATTCCGGGTAATTAAAGCCGGGTATATACATAACTAATGAAATTTATGGGTTGTTGCCTTATTGTTCATTTAAAAAAATTTACTTGATATTAGTGATAAATATGCTTTCTATAATCATTTTCAAATTATTATTGACATTTTTGTTGCATATGATTGGCTGGTGTTTGGCAACAAGTATACAAAAGGGAAATTTTTTTAAAAATATAGTTTAAAAAATAAATCATAAAATTTATATTATTTTTAAATATTTTATGCCCTTACACATTAATTTGGGCGCAACTGCCACATGACAAGTTTTCATAAATTTGCTCAAATTGATTTGCAATTAACTACACATCAATATAGGCATAACTTATCAGAGTTTATCACGTGACACTAAGAGCACCCTTATATTACACTAACGACAACTCTTAGTGTCATGTGACATGCTCAAATGGGTTTGGTTCAAATTGATGCGTATTGCATTAACTGAGAATTTTTTTTTGAAAATTATATTAATTCTGAAATTTATTATTTAAATTATAATTTTTAAATTTTTTTACCATATACAGAAACATAATATTTGAAAATGAGCTAAGTAAGGAGGAGGAACTACAAAAGTAATTTTTTGATGATTAAGCCAATTATTGAGATGATAGATTAGTAGTTTTATTTTTTCCGACTTAATTAGCTGAGTACTTAATAAAG